ATGGGTTGCCATCAGTCAGGATGTGGCCCAGAAGTTGATTGACAGCATGCCAGGGCAAATTGCAGAGGTTTTGAAAAAGAAGGGTCAACACTGCAAATATTGACTCTTTGCATAAACTTAATGTAATTTGCAATAAAAGCCTTTGACACTTGTGAAATGCTTGAAAATATAATACAGTATACCATAGTAACATCTGGCAAAACATTTACATCACTTTGTGAATATTAATATTTGTGTTATTCTCAAAACTTTTAGCCATGGCTGTAGGAGCCGTAGCCAGAGCAAAATTTTCTAAACGTTCTAATGGGAAAACTGATTTGATTTCTAAGCATAAGGCTTCATGCACACTGGGCATTTAGCCCAATGCATGAGATCCCTACGTTTTGGTGTGGGTGGTAAGCACAGGTACATTGTCCAGCTCCGCTTTTGGCAGCCTGTAAAACTACGAGACAGCGTTTATGACATAAGCACTTTTGAGAATTATTGTAAAATTGATATACAAACAAAATGATCAACATGTATAAATACATCAGTGGTTCATATAGTGAACTCGGTGTAGAGTTATTCACCCTGAGGTCATCACAGAGGACAAAGGGGCAATCTCCAAATACAAAAAGGTTTCTTCACGATAAGAGCTGTGAAAATGTGGAATAGATTCCCACAAGAGTTGGTTCTGGCTAGCTCAGTGGATTGTTTTAAAAAAGGCCTGGATTCTTTCTTGGATACACAGAATATAACTGGATACTAACATTTATAGGTATAGTTGATCCAGGGAATATCCAATTGCCTCTCGGGGGATCAGGAAGGAATTTTTTCCCCTACAGGAGCAAATTGGATCATGCTTTGCTGGTTTTTTTTGCCTTCCTTTGGATCAACTGTGGGTGTAGGACTGTAACTTTTTTTTATTTTGTTGTTGAACTGGATGGACTTTTGTCTTTTTTCAGCCAGACTAACTATGTAACGATGTAAGAAAATAAATAAATCATAAAAATTGCATGTAATAAGTCAATGTATTATATTGTGTTCCTAATCACACACACTCAGAGGAAACCATTGTGTGTTGTGCCACACCACAGTACACTGCATTTACCAGATTATATTGACCCTTTGTATAATACAAGAAAGTTAAAAAGTGCTTATTTTAGCTGGATGTTTCATAGACTGCATCCTGCTGCATGCAGCATCCACTGTCTACACCACTGACCCATTCTTCCCTCAAGTATAGGGAAATACACCACTATCCCTTTAAGACCTCTCTGACCACCATACAGCGTTCACCCATCAACAAAATGGAGGACGCTACTCACTCTAAAGTCAAAGGGGGTATAAAAAAAGTTCTCCCCTGCTGGTCCGAGAGGGCTTAAAGGGACAGTGTTGCATTTCCCTTTACTTGATGTTAGAGATGGTCAATGGTGTATACAGTGGGTGCTGAGTCTTGCTCTATATAATTTGTGCAGGGGTTTATGATTTGTACCTTAACAAATTTTGTTTGTTCTATGACAACAGCTAAAAATTGCTCATTATTTTACATGTAGGGTAGTGTAGGAGTTATTATATATAAAAACTCCATGAGAGGCTGAAAGCTGATGGTGTGGATGGTGCACCGAGTGGTACTAATGCTTAGAGCAGTATATACCCAGAGACAAAAGCCCAGAAGGCAGATTGGTCGCTTTCCAGGCATATGTTCCCAGTTACATACTGACCTAGACATTAATACCACTCAGAGCACCATCCAGCTTGCAGCAGTTTTCAGCCTGCCATAGAATTTTATAGGCTTCTGGCTGCAGGGCTGGACAGTGCGCCTGTGCCTGTCGACCACAACAAAATGCAGTTCTTCTGCACTCTTACTAAATGCCCATGCCTAAAACAAACTACAATGTACTTTAACAACTGCTGTGAGTGCATTTCTCCTGATTCCAATCCTCCTTATCCTCATAGTGGACAGTGATGGTGCTACAAATGGGTTTAAGAAACTGTTTTTCTCAAGTTTTGAATCTGGAAGACTTCTTAACATGCAAGTCATCTGCTTATTTAAATCCAGCAACCAGGATTAGTTTTCATCTATGTCTGCTTAATTGTTATCTGTGTCTTCTTAAAGGTCATATGAAGTGATTGGAAGTGATGGCACAGGAAGCTGATTGCAGAAAACATGTTTCACCTTACGTTGCATGTATTGAAGCTCAAAATTTGTACAGCACGTTGCAAGTTCCAAAGAGACTAACAGCTCAGGAAATCATGAAACAATTCAGTTACACACAGAACAAGGACATGCAGAACAGTCAGTATACTCTGGGAGTTACTCAATCATGAGAAGGGTCAATGAAATGAAATGCATTAAAGAAATTCTACTTTCACTTTAACCACTTGCCTACTGGGCAATTTCCTCCGTTCCTGCCCAGGTAATTTTTCATCTTTCAGTGCTGTTGCACTTTGAATGACAATTGCGCAGTCATGCAACACTGTACCCAAATATCTAAACATAGATATTTGATATTTAATCACCACTGGTCTTTTTTATTTTTTGCTAAACTAACTAAAAAAGACTGAAAATTATGGGGGGAAAAAATGTTCCTTAGTTTCTATTATAAAATTTTGTAAATAAGTAATTTTTCTACTTCGCTGATGTGCGCTAATGAGGATGCAGTAATGGGCACTGATAGGCGGTACTGATGCGGAGGTACTGGTAGGTGGCACTGATGGGTATTGACAGGCATCACTGGTGGGCATTGACAGGCATCACTGATGGGCACTGAAAAGCAGCACTCATATATGGCACTGATAGGCAGCACTGATGCGCACTGATAGGTGGCACTGATTGGAACTGTTAGGCAGCACTGACGGGCACTGATAGGCAGCATTGACTGGCACTGATAGGCGTCACTGATTGGCAGCACTGATAGGCATCACTGATTGGCACTGATAGGCAGCACTGACTAGCACTGAAAGGCAGCTCTGATGGGCACTGATATGTGGCATTGATGTGAACTGGTAGGCACTGATATGTGCACTGATGGACACTGACAGGTAGCATTGATCGGCACTGAAAAGTGGCACTGATGGGGCTACACTGATCATCAGAGCACTGATCATCAGTGCCCTGATGATCAGTGTAGATGTCCCTTCTGAGGAATGCCACTTACCGGCTCTCCTCTCCTCATGCGCTGTCAACATGAGGAGAGGACTGCCAATAACTGGCATTTTCCTTGTTTACATGCGATCAGCTGTGATTGGATACAGCTGATCACATGATAGAGCCTACGTCATCGGCTCTTTACTGTGATCGGTGATCCGCTGTGTCCCAGGGACACAGTGCGCCACCAATCGCCATGCCACGCGCCCCCGGGGGCACGCATGCGCAGTTACATTGGGAGGACATCATATGATGTCCTCCCAGAATGAGAGAGCTGTCGCCCGCCCTTCATTTCCTTATATGGTGGGCAGGAGGCAGCTAAACATCCAATCATATTGCATCACCAGCATAAAAAAATCTCATTGTATTGTTGCACTTCCATTTCCTCTAATACTATTTATTGTGGGACTGAATAACTAAACAAGTACAAAATGTTCACCTAGGAAAGTAAATGTTCAAAGATCTTAGTGAATAAAGGGAAGCTGTGTTGACTTCAACCATCCAATCATGCACATGGGAAAAAAAACATTTTTATAATATAAATTCTCATTGGGTTTATTCACTTAGCAGTCCTTATTCCATTTTGAAATCAACACCTATTTCCTAGCTAAGCTAGAAAGGGCTAATAAAGACGTTTCTTGTACTTCAATGCTATCAGCCCATAGCTGTCCAGACTTGCCTGTTTCTACTTTTCTCTGTCCTCAAAGCTTTATGTCAGTTGCACTTCATGTTTTTTCAGTAATAGTTCTTACATTTCACTTTGAAACCAATGGTGATGATAATGATAATGGTGGTGATGATGCTGATGATAATGATGATCACATTTATAATAATGATGATGATAACGAAGTTATTTTATTATGATTTGTGGTTATAGTGTGTGCTTTTCATTTTGCCTGCTAGTTATCTTAAATCAAAAATAATATTATTAAAGCATCCTCTATGTTATAAAAGAAAAAAAGCAGTATACGTCTCTGCTTATGGCACATTGTTGTTGACTGCTGGATTAGTTTACTAACAATGATGTGGAAGTGGCATTGTGCAAAGAGTTTACCTCTGGCGGTGTTTTGCCAATGACCAGTGCCGCTTATAGATGTGTTTGTCAGCAATATTCTACAGAGATATACGACATGCTACAAATGCTAGAAATTGTAGTTTTAAACAAACATAAAGAAAAAGGCAAAGCAACCAAGTACAAAGCAATGCTATTCCTGACTGTGATGTTTAATTTATAGTGTTAAGGGGAACTAATAATTGGTTAAAATTAGTGTATAGTACAAGAAAATAGACAACCAACTATATGATGTTAAAATAAAACCATGACTTTGGTAGTGGACTTTTATTTATTGATTTCTATTTAAATATGTAAAATATTATATGTTTAGTTACAAAATGTTTAACTACTTGCCTACCCGGAACTTTTACACAGGCCAGTTTTTCTGCTTTCAGCGCTGTTGCACTTTGAATGACAATTGCGTGGTCATGACACATTTTTCCCCATATGACATTGTTATAATTTTTTTTCAGACAAATAGAGCTTTCATTTGGTGGTATTTAATCGCCACTTGGGGTTTTTATTTTTTGCACTAACAACAAGAAAATGAGCAAAAAATATATTTAAAAAAAAAGTTTTTTTTCTTTGTTTCTATTATAAAAGTTTGCAAACAAGTAATTTTTCTCCTTTACTGATGTCATTGATGAGCCTGCACTCATAGGCAGCACTGATGGGCACTGATAGACAGCACAGATGGGCACTGATGAGGTGGCATGGATAGGCAGCACTGATGGGCACTGATAGGCTGCATTGATGAGGTGGCACTAATGAGACGGTACTGGTGGGCATTGATGAGGAGGCACTGATTATGCTGCACTGATATGCAGCAATGATGGGCACTGATAGCCGGCACTGATGGGCACTGACTGCGGGCACTGGTAGGCGGCACTTATGGGCACTGGTCAGCACTGACTGACTGCACTGACTGACAGCACTCACTGATGGCACTGCTGGGCACTGATGGGTGCAACTGCTGGGCAGCACTGATGGGTTGCACTGCTGGGCATTGATGGGCACTGGTGGGTGGCATTGATGAGCAGTAGTGCTGGACACTGATGGGCGGCACTGATGATCAAGGCACTGATGGGCACTGGTGGGCATTGATGAGCAGTAGTGCTGGACACTGATGGGCGGCACAGATGATCAAGGCACTGATGGGCACTGGTGGGTGGCATTGATAGGCGGCAGTGCTGGGCACTGATGGGCGGCACTGATGATCAAGGCACTGATAATCAGTGCGGGTGTCCTATGTGACATTTGCCAGTTATTGGCAGTATTTTCTTCACGCTGTGACAGTGTGAGGAAAGTGCTGCCGATAACTGGCAACTGTATTTACTTTGTGATCTTCTGTGTCATTGGACACAGCTGATCACATGGTAAAAGGCCGCTGTGGTTGGCCTTTTACCTAGTCATGTGATCAGCTGTATCCATAGGACACAGCGATCACTGACAGCACTGGGTGCATGCCGCTGTGGACGCGTTCATATGACGCCCTCCCAGAATGGAAAAACCATGTTGTAGCCATCATTCAGCTACAGCGCAGTTGTAAAGTAGTTAACAGGCAGCTAATCACAGAGATATATGCTTTTGTTTTTGTGAAATTGTGTTTGTTCTCTCTAGGGAACATTTCTGTGTTGTAGAACCTCAGTGGTCATACATGGATAGAAATTCAGCCGGTCAAACCGGTGAACCAGACAACAAATTTTGCTCCATATATGGACAGCTTTAGTACAGTGGAGATATGGGTTAGATCTTTCACCAGCCTGAGCCACTGACTCAATGTAGTATGTATAACTGTAAAATCTGCATAAAAAGACCCAATGCTCAACTAGGCAAATGTGTTCTGATGGGGCACAATGGTTCGCTCTTCAAAGAACATTTGACAGGCAGTGGGGCTGATTTACTAAATGCAAAAATACTGTGTACTTTGCAAGTGCAGTTGCGCCACATGCAAGGAAAATTTAAAAAATGGATTTTTTTCTGGTACATAATTGGATCATGAAAGTCAAAAGAGCTTCCCCTCATTTACTAAGCTCCACTTGCAAAGTGCATAATCTATTTGCCTTTAGTAGATCCACCCAAATATGTCACCTGCTCACTACATATTTTAACCCCTTAAAATCCATGCCACTGTGCTGCAGCTACATACAGTTGTAATGCAGCCCAATTCAAGTAAACGTATAGTGTTTGGCCGGTGGTTCTGCCTGTTGAGCTTAGCAGCAGGGACCATTTTTGTACAACCCCCTCTGCTGTCATTACAACTTAAAGTGGTTGAAACCTTAAAATTTTTTTTTAAATAATCCTGTTCCTTTAACCACCTCCCGCCCTCCATATAGTCCAATGACGGGCGCAAGGTGGTTCTCTCATTCTGATAGGACGTCATATGACGTCCTTCCATTCTCACCGTGCATGCGTGGCTCAGGGAGTGCGCAGCGTGGCGATCCATGAAAAGAGCCGAAGATGTCGGCTCGGTCATGTGATCAGCTGTGTCCAATCACAGCTGATCACATGTAAACAGGGAAATGCCAGTTTTTGCATTTCTCTCCTCTCGAGCTGTCACGCTGACAGCTCAAGAGAAGTGCCGGTAATCCGCATTCCACGGAGGGGACATGTACACTGATCATCAGGGCACTGATGATCAGTGTACCCTGATGATCAGTGTGGCCCCAGAAGTGCCACCTGTCAGTGCCCATCAGTGCCAGCTGTCAGTGCTGAACAGTGCCACCTGCCAGTGCCCATCAGTGCCACATCAATGCCACATATCAGTGCCTACCAGTGCACATCAATGCCACATATCAGTGCCCATCTGAGTTGCCTTTCAGTGTCACCCCCATCAGTGCCAATCAGTGCCACCTATCAGTGCTGCCAAGCAGCGCCACCTATCAGTGCTGCCAATCAGTGCCACCTATCAGTGCATGTCAGTGCTGCCTATCCGTGCCAGTCAGTGCCGCCTATCAGTGCCAGTCAGTGCTACCTAACAGTGCCAGGCAGTGTCACCTATCAGTGCCGCCTATTAGTGCCATATATCAGTGATGCCTGTCAATGCCCATCAGTGCCACCTACCAGTGCCTCCTCCTCATCAGTGCCCATCAGTGCCACCTATCAGTGTCCATCAGTGCAGCCTATCAGTGCCCATCACTACAGCCTCATTAGCGCACATCAGTGAAGGAGAAAAATCACTTATTTACAAAATTTTATAACAAAAACTAAGAAAAACCTTTTGGTTTTTCAAAATTTTCAGTGGTTTTTGGCTTGTTTAAGAAAAAAGAAAAAACCCAGAGGTGATTAAATACCACCAAAATAAAGCTCTATCTGTCACAAAACAATGATAAAAATTTCATATGGGTACAGTGTTGCATGACCGCGCAATTGTCATTTAAAGTGTGACAGCGCTGAAAGCTGGAAATTGACCTGGGCAGGAAAGGGGTATAAGTGCCAGGTAGGCTAGTGGTTAAAGCATGATCTATAGCATAATGCTTCCACAGTGTAATTTGCCCCATTCTATGATGTAAAATGCCTGGTTGATCCTGTCTGTTCCTGTGTCCCCCTGTGTGTGCTGACTACGATAATCATGGCTGCTTATTCATGACGCCATGGTCTCTCCTTCCCTGCCTGTCATTTCCTAGTCTGTGAATGAGAGCCAATCTCTTCCCCACCCCTCCCCTCCTGCCGCTATCCCCTGTGGCTGGAGTTATTCTAAATTTAAATAACTTGTCTCCTCTGGTTTAAGAAGATTTAAACTAATGTGTGTCAGTTTTTTTTAAAATTATAATCCTAAATACTTTCTTGCACAGTGCTGTTGTGCTGTCACGTGATCTCCTTCTGCTGGCCAGCTGATGTCAGAGGGGAATCTCAGCCTCTAATGCCGCTGTCCCTAGATCGGGGAAGGAGAGAGGAGGGGAGCTGTGCAACAAGGTATTTAGGATCATAATTTTCAAAAACTGACACACAGTACTTTAAATGTTCTTAAACCAGAGTAAAGTAGAAAAAAAATGCGACTTTACAACCACTGTAAGGAGGACCAGTTGGGGGAAGGTAAAAATACAGCTCAACTACAAGTGTAAATAAGGCCTTATGTTATAATGTTTAAATTGCATTAACATGCAGTGCATAGATGTTAATCAGTCACATTTTATTGAGATTCCTGTTGGAAAGCAGAAAGGGCTGTTAAACATCTCACCAGAGTTCCCTGTGCATCTACTGATAGGATCATTGACATTTTCCCACCTCAGGATCCCTCTTAGTTTTTAATAGGCTGTTTAGAAGTGAATGGAGAAGAAACTTTGCATCTTCTCTGGAGAAGACACCAAAGCAGATCAAATAAGGTTCTTTCTCTGAAGATGTGCTCGGCACGTAACGCGTAAGGAGGAGCCTACGCACGCCTTGACGTCACGCCGTCGGAGCATTGTGGAGCTCCGGCGGCCACTACATCTGACAGGACGGTTAGTCCTGTCCGTTTTACATGTGCTAGCTGTTTATGTGTGCTAGCCTTTTTGCCATTTTACTTTGCCATTTTACTGGATGCATCCTGCTTTATCCCAATAAACCAGTTTTAACTATACTTCACTATGGGCATTTTTTCTTGATCCCTTGTGGGGAGCATTTTTTCTTAGATATCGTTGATGTGCAGTGGAGGAGTGGTGCTTTCTTTGGTGGAGCCGTGATTCCTTTTCTGCCATCCAGTGGATTTATTCTGCCCAGCTCTGTTTTCATCGTGCGGACCTTCATTGATCAAGGGAATACATCTACCCTCTCCATGCTGATGACTACTTTCTGAACTCCATCTTTGCTACATTGCACTATTTATGTGCACTTCTGGTCAGTGTGCATTGTTACCCGAGGTCACCTTTATTGGGACTTTCTTATGAATATATATTTTTGTGTCACATTTATATTTTTAGCGCTGCACTTTATATTTTATTTTCATGTGAGGATTTTTTTTTGGTTATCCTGTGTGCTTCAGCTGCTTGTCTTTCGAAAGCGCTCACTTATTTGCTCTCTGTTTCAGATCAAATAAGGGATCTGCTACAGGACCGTATTAGACTTTGCTGGGACATGGATAGTACTGTAAGTGCTAGTAAAATTTTATTTTGTTTTCATACCTCCATGCGCCATGAACTAATAAGAGTTCCATTTCAATTCACCCCCACTAAACTCCATACCATACCCTTATCCTAGACTCTTAGTCTTGGAAGAAGATGATTAGTAACCTCTTATTTATCTGAGGGAACGTACCTTCAGGTGATAGACAGGATGTCCTCCACTCCTCCTTCCCCTCTAAACCCTTAACTTAGCTCAACTAGTCTCTCAGTTCCTCTTCCCTCCTGCTCCTGCAGAGGGTACTCATCAGAGTAACAGAAGTCCTCCAAAGTATCACTTTGTCATAAAACACAACAGAGCTGAGAAGGAGCCTAGGTTCTGTAAAGCTTATTGCCACTTTGAGTTGAGGTCTGAAAATGACCATGTCTGATGGAGGACAGAACAGCAAAGTGATGCTCTACCTAACACATGCCTGCATTAGATGGGTAGATCATGATCAACCTGATCCCGACCCCTATTCTAGGGTCTATCACAGGCTTCTTAGAGTTGTTTAAATAGCCAATTATGAGGTCAAGTGAGTATGCAAAATATACAATATTAGCTCTAATGTGAGTGTTGCCGCTATATTAACAGGATTCTATGTTATTTGCAGGGATTAGTAAAGAGCTGACAGAGCAAGCAATGTGTATTTTGTTTTGTTTTTTTGTTTTCTTTTAAGAAAGAAAGAAAATATTAATTTAATCTGAATAGACAAAGCAATACAGCAGATGAAAAAACATTTCTACTTTATGCCAAGAATAAATTCATCTTACCATACCCATGGTGAATGTAAATGTTTTGGGGGGGGAGGGTTTCGGATAAAGTAGGGAAGGGCAAGATCCCTCTCAGGCTTTTTTTCCACCAGTGACCAGATGGGGAGATTTCCCTTCACTTCCTATCCTGAAAGTGTAATAGGAAGTGAGATTATATTTCTACAAAGTGAGGATAATTTCCCCCTGAGACAGTTGCCATTAGAAATGGTGTCTCCATTTAAAGAATTACCCAATGGGGACAAGGACAACATTAAACATTTGGCAGAGGTTTTAATTGTTTCCAACTTTATCCAAAACTAAGCAACAAAGTTATACAGTGTATCCATTTTAATACTCTTTAATGTATAATGGTGAAGCAATAACATTTACCTTTTTTGACTATTTGTATTCATTAACAGATGCACCTAATACACTGGTAACATTTATCTATAATTGTATTGACATAAATAATGTAACCTGATAGACATTTACAAATTGTATGCAAAAATCCACAATGACTGTTCATACATCATAATTTATTTAACCATGTATTATTTATACATTAAATGGTTTCTTAGGTGATCATTTAGGATATTATTTTACTAAAAATGTACGTATTTGTATGACTTTGAACACTACATTTGAGATTTATTGTTTCTTGTTATGGATTTTTCTGGTTGAGACACTGAGAATAAAACTAAGCATGCAATTGAAGTGAAAAGATACATAGGTTACAAACTCTGTGTTTAAAACATCAGTTCTAAAGAGGCTTATTATTACATTATATGATATACATAAGCTAAGAAAGGAGTGGTGACAGATGTTTTTTGAACCAGGAGAATAATTCCACATTTCCTATTTCAGTAGCTATCTCTAAAAGTTGCAAATGTAAAACCTTGAGACAGGAGGAGGAGTATTCTGCTCACAGTTCCACCTGTAAGCAAAATGGATTTTACAAAATAGATGTTCTTGAGCTTAAATGAACAATACATATAAAGTGGGCAAAGGGGGTGGGGCATTGGACTGGATGGCAAGAAAGAGGGTTAGATTAGGTGGAGGGGATAGGGAAGAAGGGGTAGGGAGTGTCCTCCTCATTTTGGATTCATCCTGGAGACTGTCCTTTTGGAGCACAAAGGAAAGGCTTCAGCCTACAGCCAGATCACATCTCGCAACGCACATTATTCAGCAGCGGTGGTGTTATCTAAGAAATAATACCATATTTTCTTGGATTGCTCACCAAAGTTCTGTAGGGAGAAGGTTAGAGGCTCCATAACTTTTTTTTATTGAATTTGTCTATCCAAAAGGTGTTGGGATTGTATATGAGCAGTGTAGCAGTTTTGCAACTATTGAGTGGACGATGTAGGTGGATGGTGAGTTGGAAAAGAGCTTATGTATTTTTGAGGGAATGTGGTACATTTAGCCAATATTGTATAGCTTGTTTGTGGTTCTTGTTAGCTATAAATGCCTTATGAGTAAAGTGGGTGATACATTCTCTTTGTCTTTTTACCATTGTGTTACATAATGATTGTGGGGGTCAACAAATTCTGCAGCTGGAAGGCTATGCAAAAACTGATGTGAGAAAAGATCATTTGTTTGATTTCTGTAATGGTTTTTACTTTATTTGCTATGTTGAAGTGAGATAGCTAAAAACTTGTCCCTCATTTTCTCATTTTCATAGTTGCATTTCTACATCAGTTTATGAATCTTGCCATGTGCGAAGTTTTGAAATATGTTGTTTGGTCAGAGATACTACATGAGCAGCAATGTCTACAGCAGGTATTTCTCCTGTAGAGGAACCTAGCTGTCACAGGATGGCAAAGAGGTGTAAAATACTGATGGTATTGTATAGGCAACAGGTGATGTAACTTTAAGGCAATATGAACAAGATCTTCAGATTAGTCACTACCTAGGGTATGTGCTTGTCCAACTTTGTAGCATGGAGAGGGGAAGTACAAGTCAGTATGCAGATATATGCACTATGATTAGTGTCATCAATGGAGGGTGTTTTAGAAAGCTGTTCTAGTGTCTGGAGTCCCAGGTTAGAACCCAGGTCCCTAAGTAT